GTTAAATATGAGTTAAGTTGAATCAAATTGACTGTGAAAGTCGTTTCAACTGATTAAATGTATTAAACTGACTTAAAAAATCATTTGTTGCCATGATTTTTGGATTATATTATAACCTGTAACATGTCCCTGCCGTTCTCAAATTAAGAATTAACAACAATTTCTACAGACAGCAGAGAAAGAGCGAGAGCGTCTACCTCAGCAGCAACTAATCTCGCATTCTCACATCTGTAGCGCTTAGTTTGATCTTTAACGTTAGGTCTTTCCTATTCTTGAAACAAAATTAATTCTTAAGGTTAATTCAATATTACTCTTAATGAAAAACACACACACAACATCAAGAATGCTACAATGACAAAGTCGCTTATATTAAACATAAAACTTTTATGAACAGATAAGAACAAATAAGATCAGTGGCATATGAGATCTTCGAGATGATTCTTCATGTTCCTAAAACGAGATTAAAATCAAAGGGTGATAGGGCTTTCTCAGTACCTGCTCCTCGATTATGGAACCCTCTTTCAATGCATATTAAATCTTCCCCATCTGATGATGCTTTTAAGGCTAGATTGAAATCGTATCTGTTTAGTATAGATTTTAGAATTGATTAGAGTGATCAGGATTTAACTTTTAATGTTTAATTTGGTTTGTGTGACTGTATTTAATGTAGGGCCCTATGGTTTCTGTGATGTGGAAAACGTGGACGAAATCGCGGCATCATAAAAATGGAATTTACTGTATAATGCAGAATGTCACGGAATTTGTCAAATTTAATTAATTAATCAAAAGTACTTCGTTACACTTAAATCAAATCGCAATATGGATCATTATCAGTAAATATTAAGCCGCAAATATACCATTTAAATATGAATCCTCCATGTTTTATGTGTCTCTGTGTGAATGGCACAGATGCGCGGTTTTGTTTACTACACTCATACTGAAGCTTATCAGTATGACGGCTTATACTATTGTTTCAGCTATTAAAATAGTTCAGTTTTGTATGTAATGGCAAAGTGATTATATTTGGTTTCATTTTTTTATTAAGTTAATTTAGAAAAATGATTGGAGCATGTTTTTGTTCATTAAATATAAGTTTTTGTTTTTTAAAGGAACGACCAAGCGGCAGCGGCAGACAGTGAGTTGGGCATTACATTTGATCAATTTAGCCTTCTTAAACAAACACGACTTGCCTAAAATAAAGAGACATAAAACACTTCATGCATTTCACAGTATTCATTTAAACATTTAACCTAGATAAATGAGCGCTGTTAGGCGCATACCCAATCGTTTGTGCGGAGAGTGGAAGCTAAAGCACGCTTTGCAGGACATGGAGGCGCCACCGCGATCACTTGCATTTTATTTTTAATAACAGTGGAAACTTAAAAATACGCCGTCATTTTTGCTCATAAAGGTAAGAGTATACATCGTTCGGAACGGCAAAGGGTGTACTTGTATTTGTGTGCACTCACAATAGCAACAAAACCTTGTGGTTTTGTAAAGTAAGGAAAACAAACAGGATGCGCTTTCTGTCGTCTTGGTCTTGTGCAGGAGCGCTTCACTGACATGCTAAATATATCTATAGAATGCTTTAAATTACTATTTTAAAACGAAATAAAAAATCAAATCGAAAACAAAATCTCTTTCATTATGTAATCCGTAAAGATGCATTTCTCTCTAAAGGCACGTCCAATGAGGAGATGGCGAGTAGTTCATTGTAATTAAAAATGGTTATTTAATCTGATTTAAAAGAACATCAGTGTTGATAGCAACGTGGGCAGCTCACCGGCCTATAGCGCTGTTGTGCTTCAGGCGTCCCGAGTTCCAGTCCCGGCTTTCAGGCCTTTCCCGATCCCGTCCCCTTTTCTCTCTCCCACTTTACTTCCTGTCTATATTACTGTTCTGTCCTAATAAAGGCAATAAACGCCAAAAATGCATTTAAAAAAAAAGCAGTGCAAATGGGTCAGTGGTTCTCAGCTGGTTTCACTTCAGGGCCCTTTTTTAAACAATGGACATCAAATACACATTACCAGAATTGTGTATTGTACACATGTAAACAGGGATATGCTTAGAAATCAAACATTAACATGTATTAACAATCTGCAATACTTTTTTACATGACTTAGGCTGAATTGGATTTTTAAAAATGGCATTAGCAATGTTACCACGCTTACTGTATACATGATCATATAGTTAGTTGCATTTTATAAATTGCATTCATCAGGCCAACCTATTGTGTGACCCATTTATGCTGTGACCCATCAGTTGAGAACCACTACCAAAAAATGGACAACTCTAAGGCTAATTACTGTACACGTTTCAATTTATTGACTTCAGGTTGATGAGGCCATGCATAACTTGGAGTGAGTTTGCCATCTGGTGGCATAAATTAGTAACAACATCCTATGCTAGGTTCTGTCCTACATTGTGCTTTCCTACATGTAAAAATGCTCACACTCCTCATTCAGTTCCCACATCACTACAGTTCCAGAAGTCTCTGTGCTTAAACCGCTAATCATCTCTATCTGCGGCAGGTCATTCAGGATGCTCATCCAATCATACAGCTTCTCTCAGCACTGCTATGCTAACAACACTCAACTGCAGAGCTCCTAACCCATCATGCCTCAGAAACCCATCTACATCTCAGAATATACCCATGCCCAGCATAATAAAAAAACGCCCTTCCCCAAGCATTTCATAGCCACAATAAAGCAAGCCTCTCCTTGCCAACAAACCATCTGCCTTGTGCCCAAAATTATATTATCTGGAAATTCTTTAAATTTATACTCAAGAGACTGTTGCAGGTTTACGCTGAGACTGACTATTTTGCACATAATGGCAAGTACCAACCATTAATGTGACAAGCACATAGTCTCACATAAGAGCAAATCTCCTACATTTCTTACCGTTTCTCTCTTTCTTGCTCACACACACACACACACATTCACACTCAACACTTATAGACACCTGCTGTCAGCTTGATTGTGGGAGCCACTCTCCTTGATGCTGCCAAATGGAACAGCGACCCTCTGAGCACATCTGAGCTGTCACTCAGACGTACACAGACTCCCCCGTCTAGCACAGCTTGTAAGGTTAAAGCAGGCAAAGCACATCCATAGATAAACACTTTAAAACTGTAAAGTTTTAAACCAGTAATACTGAGCATTTCATTCATTGTAAAACAGCATAACTCTGAATGAATGTATGACTTACACAGTCTATATATTTTAGGCCTATATATATATATATATATATGTGTGTGTGTGTGTGTGTAAAATATCTTCATGGAACATGATCTTTACTTAATATCCTAATGATTTTTGGCATAAAAGAAAAATTGATCATTTTGACCTATACAATGTATTGTTGGATATTGCTACAAATATACCTACAAATATATGACTGGTTTTGTGGCAATTGTATATATATATATATATATATATATATAATGACATTCATTCATTCACACACTTTTACACTATTCATAATAGTTTTAACATAAAGAAAAATGAAAAAAAAGGGAAGCATTTGAATTTGATTCATTTTATTCAAAATCCTGTGACACAGGTTTCAGAAATGAGGCTGTTTAAATATCTGCAGTCTTGTTTTTAAATTGTGTATTAAATATATAAGTGTTCTGTGACCACACCATTTCAAATATATACATTTCCACCATAAATAAATAATTCTCATTGGTGCAAGATTATTCTTAGTTAGCTAAAACACATTCTGAGCATTCATCATTCATTTGTAAGAAGGAACTGGATATTTTTAAAATGTGTTTTAAATCTACTGTAAAATGAGCTTAATAAAAACACTAAACCAATCTGTATATGAATGAAGTAATATGTAAACAAGTGTGCAAACCAAATTTAGTGATATCGTTCAGCAGCTGGACACACATCCACTGCATGCAGAATATGTGCTGCCTGAGCCTAAAGCAAAGTTAATTAAACATGAGAACCACTGGAAAACAGAAGGGCTTGACAAGCTTTAATTAGTGTGTGCAAATATTCAGATTCAGATTCAGAAGAACTTTAGATTAGCCCAAGGTGTCCAGTCAGTGCACAATGTTTGGTTATTTACATGGCAAATTACATAAATAGAATTAATCAGCAGTGTCAGAACCTTTAAACCATTTTTCAAGCAAGGTTTTTTCAAGCTGCATAACTCGGAGAACTGAATTTTAAGAAACTAATACATTAGACATTCAAACCTTGAAATGTTAGATCATCAAGATTAATTTGAATTGTGCAAGAGCACCAGCCAATTGTATCTACGACAGTGAAAACTTATGTTAAATAATTAATTTTTATCACAAAGTACATATGTGCAAATTTACTTGAAATTCTAATTCAAACTTTCTGCAATGATTTGTAACCGCTGTCTGATAAGCGATCAAGAGAAGTAAAACCTTCTTTGTGCAGATAAAAGCATATTTTCAAGCTAATAATTGAAGTAGGCCCTTGAAGGCAAAGGGTTTAAAAACCAAATAGTTCAAGTTCAATATTAAAGAAGAACAAAGCAGAGCATTTTAAAAGAAAAATATGAAGGTGACTATACTACTCCCTTTTGTAAAAATAGCCATGAGGGAGAAACTGAAATGAACACAGAGCAAGATGTTTTATAATGCATAATATCTGAATATGTTCTGAAATATACAAAACAAATGTATTTCATCAAGAGGTCTAACTCAATAACTGAAGCTTATTAGAATGAATCCGAAGTTGAATATTGCAGAGTTCTGTCATCACCAGCAAAGGTCTCGAGAGTTAATGGAATGAAATATAGACAATAATATGGAACTAGTGAGAAGTAAGGAATTATTATATCAATACAAAATAAATTAAATGTATTTACAACTTTGTTTATCTTTTTAAAACTTAAAGAAAAGAAAGAAAATCTATTTGTTCATGCCTTCCATGTAGTTCTCATTCCCCCTCTGTGTCACTGTCAGACTCCATTTCAGGAACTGTTGAACTGTACCACTCCGCATTCTCTTCTGGCTCTCCTTGTATATCAGCAAGGGAAATCCCTCCACTTTCTGGCTTTGCCTTCATGTCCATCGTCTCCAGCTGCTGGCCTTGGTGCTTGCGCTTCGTGTGACGTCGCAGTGTGTTGCGCTCTGCAAAACGCATGTGGCATATTAAGCACTGAAAGGGTTTCTCACCGGTGTGTACTCTCTGGTGCCTCATTAGTTCCCCTGATTCACGAAAACGTCTTGGGCAAAGCTGGCACACAAAGTTCCTCTGACCTGTATGGATGTGTTTGTGTCGCTCAAGATGGCTTGATCTTTTGAACGCCTTGCCACAAAGGTGACATACATGGGGTTTGCTTTGGGAGTGTGTGATGGAATGGCGCTCAAGGTCCGAAAGATAGTAGAAGATCCGCGGACAGTACTGACAGTAAAGAATGCGACGAGGGTCTAATGCTTCGTTCTTTGGGTCATTGATTAGAATTCCGGGTGATACAGGACGGATGGGTGATGTAGAAGAGGTGGCATCTAATGAGTCTGTTTGGCCTACCGAGGTAGACTCAGTCTCACCATCACAGTTTACCTCTGTCTCCTTATTTTTACTTTCATGGACTGTGGCAGAGGAATCAGGCTTGGTGGCTTCAGAACATGAAGGAGTAGTGACCGAATGTGTCTCAGGCTGGTTTTCTTGTTTCTTCTCCACAGACACAGCCAATCTGAGAAGGGCTTCCCGAAAGGAAGTGGGCACTGGTGTGTCGGAGTAGGCATCAGTGCTGAATTGCTTGGTTGGACTTGTAGAGGTCACTGTGGAAGTGCTAGAGGAAGCAGTTGATGAGGTAGGGCTAGCAGGAAGATTAGAAGGGTTATTCAGTCCTGAGATGTCTGTAGCTGTGGCAGAGGAAACTGTGCTGAGGCTGAGAAGTGACGTACATGAACTTAATGTAGATCCCAAATCAAGTGGACAAGTTGCTAAGGGAAGTGCAACAGTGGAAGAAGAGGAAATTTGAGATAACTGCCCAGGCGAGGACGAACTCTGAGTTGAGGACACCTGAGGAGATGACAAAACTAGGAACATGGGGGAGGACTGAGTGTTCTGACTAAGAGGAACTGGTAAGGAAAGGGTAATTAGCCCTGGGTTAGCTTTAGAGGCCGGTGAGGAAAGAGACTGAAGCTGAGATGGAGGAAGAATTAGAATGGGAGTGTTTGACCCTGTAGTATTAGCCACAATCTGAATGGGAACTGATGCCAAGTCAGACATGGCAGGTATGATGGAGGGTTTATCAAGAGCTACAGAACTGTAAGAAGATTTTGGCTCCTGGTTTGGGGCAACTTGTGAGGTTTCCACCGAGACATGGCCTATAGACATATTTGGACACAGTGAATTGGGTAGTGTCTGTATTCTTGAGTCTGCAATATCCTGTACATCAGCAATGAATGAGGGCTTATCTTCAGCTTGTCCTGGGCTTAGATCTGTTTGTTTATAGAGGCCCTCAGTGTGTTGTATATTATCAATTTGTGGAACTTTCTGTCCATCTGCAGTAAGTGTGTAAGGAATGCCCTGGTCATCTATAAGTAGTGTATCCATTGGATCTGGGGTTATAATGTTGGGATACGATGTAGTTGCCATGGCTTCAAGCGAAGAGGAGGAAATATGTCCATCCCAATGCTGAGGCAGATATGTATGAGCATCACTTACTGATGAAATGCAGCAAATTTCATTGTCGTCCTCCTGCTCCACTTCAACATGTTGAGGCTCCTCCTCAATTTCATCAACTTCCATATGAAGTGAACCTTCATATTCAGGGTCTACAACCCATTCACACTTCCTCTCCTTATTTCGGTCTTTCTTTTTTGGTAGGCTTAAATCTAATACCATGTCTTCTTCATATTGTCCCAAAGAACTTGTCACTGCAATGTTCCTTCCGATATCAAGTCTCTCCTCTTTTACGTTACATAAAATTTGTGTTTTATAATCTTCAATGCAGTCTTTACTATATTCTAATTTTTCTTTGTTTGCATTTAGGTCCATCCTAAGTTTACTCCCTCTTGCATGTGCCACGTCAACAACCTGTGTTTTATTCTCAATACACAACTCCTTGCTTGTGTGATTGCCTCCACCAGGTGACGGTAGTTTGTTATTATGAAAACCTTTATTTAAAATAGATTGTCGTTGAACCTTAATCTCTAGTAAATCATTGGATGAGATGTTGGCAATGTTTGTAGCTTTGGTTGTTACCTCACAAGCTTCTGTCGTAGCATTATCAGACTCTATCTTGGGTATCAGCTGCATGTTTGTTGGTAGACTCCTTGTGTTCTCTTGAAAAGGGACTAATTTATCTTCAATAGTCTGGTTTTCAAGAACACTCATCTGCTCTGAGTCGGATTCATTTTTTGGCGAGTTCTGCTTGCTGTAATCCTTTATAACTTCTGTCTGATCTTGTGGTGGATCAAGAAACACATCTGGGGTCACTTTGTCCTTAGACTCAGTCCTCAGTGAGAGTCCCTCGTCTGATAACTCACTCTCCTGACCCACAGACATTTGGCTTTCTTTTGTGGCAGTAAGATCAGTCCACTTAATATGTGGAATGGTCTCACCTATCCTGTCCAATGTTTGTTGTTTGCGCATAGCAACTTCTATACATTCAGCAGTAGAGAAGAAATCATATTATTCAGTACTCATGGAGTAAGTCTGTTCATTATAACCTGAGAGAACATTGAAATATTGCCTGACAGTGCCACACAATCTTGCATAATCCATGTAATGGCACCATTGCCAGTTCCTTTCCCATCTGATGTAACTGCTGATTTTCACCCATGTCTCTGCTACTGCCATCAGTCAGGACCTTCTACTCATCTAAGGCATCAATCTAAAACATACAAGCAAACACAAAAACATAAGACAAAACACAAGATTCTACAAGACAAATCTCAAATAATGTATTGTTTAAGGTAACAATCCTTTATAAAATATTAGTGCTGTCAAAATGTATAAATGAATTGCAACTTTTACTAAAAATCACTTTTTTGAAGTTACAGTCACTTTGTATATTCTTAATAAATTATTACTAATTTAATATTTAATACATATTCAATATTTAATACTGCCACATTATTTCAGTTATACTGTTATAGGTCTGTATTTACATATAAAATATGGAAGCCCGTTTCCACCACTGAATAAAAAATAAAAAAGGTAATTCCGACTTTTTATCTCACAATTTTGACTTTTTTCTCAGAATTGCGTGATATAAACTCGCAATTGCGAGTTAGAAAGTCAGAATTGTGAGATATAAACTCGCAATTCTGAGAACATATCAGAATATGACACGCAATTGCGTGTTATAAAGTCAGAATTGCGAAATATAAACTCGCAATTGCGAGAAAAAAAGTCAGAATTGCAAGTTTTTATCTCGCAATTGTGACTTTATATCTCACAATTCTGACTTTATAACTCGCAATTGTGAGTTTATATCTCACAATTCTGAGAAAAAAA